CGTCGAGGTGTTTTTGACCAACCCGGTGGAATACTCGTAATCAAGCATGAACAACACATCGAGGAAGAGAGAGAAGAAAGAAACAATAAGGCAAGTCATGAAGCCCAGAATTATTGGAATGTGAATGACAATATGGTCTCCCGGAAATAAGGGTTTTGATCCTCTCGAAATACATACACACACACACAAGGAATGCTTGAAACGGATATGAAAAAATGAACAAAGTGAACAAAAGTGTCTGGCGAAAAAGAAACATGTATACATTGTGGAACGAATTCCGGAGAAATGAGGCAGGCAGTCTCTTAGTGTTGTCCCTTTTTCTAAAAGCAGAAATCAAGAGAATATTTCAAAAAATTCAGAGCTGCAAGTTTGCTTTTGGGGTGGGAGCAGGCGTGCAAGCATGCGTACGTGCCTGTGAAGGTAAAGGAATGTGTAAGTTAGTGATTGAATGGGTGAGTGAGTGAGTGAGTGAGTCGGTGGTAGGATGAGTGAAGGGAAGGAGGGTAGAAGCAACGTTAGAGTGTAAATGTATAAGGAGGAGCAAAGACAGGTGCGAAACTTGTGAATGTAGCGAAACCTAAGATAAAAGAAAGGAAAACTATGTATATCACCCAATGCTTTGTGTTGATGTGTTTTCTTGGTGGTACAGTAATTGCTTCTCATGGTCACTTTGACTCCGTCATGCATCGAACATCAACATGATTGTCGTTTGCGAGTTTAGTTTGACTAAGTTGTACCAATGAGATCGGTTAAATATGAGATTATGTATATAAGCGTTTATACGTATACATATAAACCACGGCTCTTTACATCACGTAACTCAATGACGAACACGATAGAATCATGGTCCCTAAATAACCAGCTGTTTGACTTGAATAGTGTAATGATCTTCGAATGCCTTCACCGATGTGGGTACTATCGGGATTCTTCAATCTCATCTGAATTCGTTGTGATTGTCTTGAGAGTCATTTGTGGCGAGCTTTTAGCTTCAGGCATCGAATCGTGGTCTCTTGGCGTGCTCATCTCCATTTGTCGGGACTCCATTGCATCCAAAGTTGCTGTAGAGTTAACCATTCTCTCGTTTATCCAATCTTGCGGTGAAAATCTCATCACGGAACTCGGCGATTCTGCTAAGCCGGTTTTATTCCACGCACTCATGTCCATAAGAGCAGCACCAGAAGCCTGTGAACTGGACAGAGGATTCACATCCATTCCCGTGGAGATAGACAAATCAACAGTCGATCCGGTGGTGCATGGGGCTGCAGATGGGGTTGTTGTCCGATCTTTCAAGAGAAGAACATTGCAACCGATTGGGCCGGATGACTCCGTACTGTGCTCGGGAGATGGGACACCAGAGTTTGAGTTGTTTGTGCTCGAGAAGTTGGTTAATCGGATTGGATGTTGACGACTGCGTTGGTTGTTTGCTACCCGACGAGCTTGGACGCAGACGTCTGTCATGCACAGATTGATCGAACCAGTCTTTAGTTGTGGATGTCGACGTCGGATGAAGACTGCGTAAGATTGAAAAGAAAAACGTAGGAAGTAGCGAAATAAGCTAGCAAACAAATAATAAATATTGATTTTCCCAGATATATTTGTGAAGTGGTAAAGTGTTTTGTTCACAGGTTTCCCGGCAGGAGAAAGCTGCTGATATATTCTGTGATATATATATTTTGGGAGCTTCTGATGGTCAGGTCAAACAAAAAACGAACTATTTTTGAAAAGATAACCAGTAAGACAAGAAGTTTGTAAGAGAGGACTCCTTGCGGTTGGACCGCAGTTCAAGACATGAAGAAATGCTGAGTTCTTACAACTCACGGAAAACGGTGTTAGTAAAGTATGGACTTGGAATTGCAATAGCAGCAGTTAACCAATAACGATTTCGAAAACAATCTTATTTCCCAGGTTCGTCAACTCACTACCGTTCCAGCTGTCTCCGTGTGCTTACGATAAATGAACCATGATACAACTCGGTTTACACCTCTCAGTGCACTATTCATATGGTGAAGGAAAGTCTTCCTCCAGGACCGTGAAAACATCATTTATTACCAAACGCGAAGCCGGGTTCAGCCCAGCAGACGTGTTCACCATCGCCCAATGAGTCAAGATCAAAATAATGAAACCAACAGAGCCTATGCTAATTTAAAAGATTTAGGCCGGTGCATAAAAAGGGATGATTACAAAGCGCGAGTTTGTTAAAGACAATCCGCACACGCTCAGAGTCACACGCATACCCGAACATCGCCTACCAAAATCTATCCTCACCGTACTTGGTTGTGATTCTAAAAGTGATATTAAAAACTTACCGGTCCGCGTCGTGCACGAAAATCTATTGTGCGATTTTTTTGTCGCATACAAGCAAATAATTGTTCCATGACTCCGATAAAAGGCCTTTATCTAACTAATTCATGTGGTTTAGACAGTCGACTGTCTGACTGCTTACAGTTTTGATTTCAAGAACACTGTGACGCATCACACCTCAACAGAGGAGGTGAGATCGAAACAGTTGTGCACAAGATACCTTCCACGGCCATGTTCACTATTTTGTGAAAAACACATTAGGTCCCACTTTAAAACAGTCAGATCAACGGCATTTGTTTAGTTTCAGGTTTATATCTTTATGAATTTATCTCATACTCGTCCTTAGGGAACGTGCTTTTTTACTGCCGTGGAAAGCACATTTTATCAGGTTACTTGTGAGTAGTAAGTAGTAAAGGACTAGTGTCACGAGGTTGACAACAATTCTTCAGAGTTACAGTCAATCAGAAGGTGATGGACTTGAAGAATGCCCTGGTTATCGCTCATCAGTGATGCATATCCACCCTCCCGTCCGGGTACCTAGCATCGAAGACGCGTTCTACCGCTGTGCCAAGCAGCGGCGATGACTAAAGATAACTGTTTCGTTTTTTTCCAATATTGTATTCAACGATGGTTAGTCAGTTCTTTGGAACTAACAGCAATGAAGGGAGACGCATTGTTGTGCAATGAGTGTAATCAAAAGCTTCCTGTCACATTCGAAATGCTTTGGAAAAAATCATGCAGCAAACATATTTACATTCGTCTCGCATTTTGAACACAATACCTATTGCGTGTAAGCACTTGAAGAAAATTAATGTCTTTAATCCAGTTTCTAGAGGGAATTTTCCTTGTTAAATAACCCTTCAAATGCACTCGAAAAATCTCACCTATTATTTATCAGTTTTCTAGCCGATGTGTCAAAAACGATCAAGATTGTGTCTCTGAAATTTTACGCACCAAAAACCTGATCACTGTCTCATGCGGTTCACTTCTTCTGACGGCAGACACCACCTTAGTTAGCCTTAACGAACAGCAAGCGTCAGAGGAGAATCCCTGAAGACTTAATCGGATTGCATGCTGGGGAAATAACCGTGTCTGTACAATTCACTTTTTGTAACGGTAAATCATCCTCTCTGCCAGAACTTAACTCTGGGGTTTTTCAGGGTGCTACTTTATCTCCAATTCTTTTTTCACTGTACATTAAAGATCTTCCCATCCCTCCCAACTGTATCGCATTCAAGTATGCCGACGACGTAGTCATCGGATGTCCCTCGACTGATTTTGACTGTTTCTGTCAACTTCAAGTTTGTCCAAATATGATTTTTAGTTGGTCGATTCCCCGATCTTTAATGCTCAATGAAGAAAAATATTTAGATGTTTCTTTTAGCCTTAAAACAGGCACGCATCATCAAACCCTTTTGAGTAATCAGCCTGAAATTTCTGTCAATGATAATATCATCCCCAAAACTAACTCTGTAAAATATCTCGGAGGTATTTTGTCACGTAATCTTTCTGGGTTCAAACATGTTGAACACATTTATATTAGGGTTTTTAGGCTATCCTTCTAGGCTTTTAGGCCCAAAAAGCTCGGCATTCCCCTAAACGTGACTGTGTGCATTCTTTCACATTGGTTGTATTGTTCCCCGTATCTTTTCCCGGTCTGAAGGAGAGAAACTTTATTCCCTTTTCCAGATCTCATAAACTTCTTTCCCGTGGCAGTGGCGTTTCAAAGACCGTTTTGTTTGACTTTATTGTGAGCAAGCATTTTGATTCATGCGACAGATTTACCAGCCATTTGCTAACAAATGAAGAATAGTGCCTGCATGTCCATCTCAAGAAATCGGTGTCTCATCCCAGCAGGCGTTCCAAATTTAGGATTCTTTGTGCACGCTCCACCACATATAAAAGCAACAGCATCCCTTATTTTGCTCGTATATTGGTCAACCGAGCACATATTATTACTGGCTTGAATAATAATCTCTCACGTTAGGATTATATCACATCCATTTTTTTCACCTATTAAATGTATATTCTTCTTTTGCCAACGTTTAACGTTTTCCTCATTGTACCTTGTCGAAAATGCTGAAAATTCATCTTATCGGGTTCATAAAGCTTTACTTGACTTGACTGTTTGTGTGTGCGTCCAGGTTCGTACCTCAGTACAATCGGTGAACATAACAGATAAATACTGGCAAAAATGAGATAACGGCAAATTAATCCTTATCATGGAATTTTCCATTGATGAGCCACCCAGGTACCACACAGGACTGGCTCATTTTCGACCGTTTGAGAAGCAAATGACGCTCAGTATGACATCGAAACGTTCATAAGACAATATATCTTAAAACGTGTGCTCTATTCTCAGATTATCCCAAAGTAGCAAGAGGAAAGCAACTGTTAGTTCGCTTAGATAATAACCAAATGATGGATTTCTTCACATACAGAACAGTTAAAAAGTAAATTGAAAAGCTAAGAACCACCGCACAACCGTTTTGACATTTTTGAATCTCATCAGCAGCATGAATATATCGATACAACGAAGGATCGAACCCCGGAGACTTATTAGATGAAGACGACTATTTGGTGGATGAATTCGCACCTCGAATGAGACCCAACAAGATCAAAACATAGATGCAGTGTTTCATAGTTTTGCACTTCCTCTGCTCTATGCGGAACGAAGTTTGGCGTATAATCGGATGAAATTCTCCCCGACTCACAAGTAAAGAATTAGTTTGGTCTCGGCTCCAGATCGTGGAATTAGATCATTAATTTTCACCGTTTTTTATTTCATTTTCCCTATAATATGTTTAAATGATTGAGATTATTTCGTTTTTAAATATTATTATTAATTTTTGCAACCATGTTTTTTGTATTTCATTTTACTGATTGAAAGTTGGGAACAAGAACGGCCGTGCACACACACACACGCAACTCGATGTGCACATGACCGTGGGCCATGGGCTACTCGGCGAGAGTCAATAATAATCTGCTCGGGATTGATCGCAGTTAGAAGTGAATGGATGGAAGTCCGCTTCTCATGAATTCACACATGTGACTTACGCATTCACCATGCCACAGGGGTAATTGTGGTGGTGGTGGTGGCGAACGGTGGGGATAAATGAAAGAAAGAAAGACAGAAGGATCGAGTTTGCCCAACGCGGTTTGTTTGATTAGTCAACAATCCACACACATTGACGACCTAAAGCTAAACTCCATTCACTTACCTCATAAGCACACACACATGCACACACATACACACACACGCACAAAGGGATAATATGAACCCGGAGGTGGAATTAGTGAACATTAACCCCGGGGATCGTGTTCCGTATCCACTAGCCCAGCTCACCCGACACACGCAAGCACATGCAAATAGATTCTCAAGTGAGTCAGGTGAGGGATCACTGCAGACAGGAGGCCATGTCGGCCATGGCGGTGACGATGAGAAAGAGTGGTGTTTGCAAACTTATGTTGATGCATGTGTGTGTGTCACGTGGCTTAAATTTATCTCCGTTCCCGTGTGTGTATGTTTGCGCGCCCTTTTGCGATAGAACCCTCTAAAACACGTTTAACCTGACACGGCGACCGAGCCGGTAGCAGGAAATTAAAAAAGGTTTGTTGTTACTGCTGCTTCTGCTAACCCGAAGCAGCCATTCTCTTCCTATCCATGTCATCCCCGTGATACTCCCACACCGCCGTCTTCACTATTATCACATGCAATATAACCGCCTGTTCAGCATTGTTCTAATTAAGATGGTGAATATCGCAAAATGCGATGGACAAGTCTAGACTTGAGGCAAATCGTATTCCCTATTTTCAAGGCCTAAATAGTTTATGATACAGCCTCACATAGCGTAGCATCAGTTAGTGAAACTGCATTCCGGCTTGTGTTGTGGCTCACCTGTGCGACTGACAAAGCATCCTGAAAGTGAACTTCTAGGCTCGTGGGATGACAGTAGCTATGCCCATTTTTTCTTTTTTCGGTAGCATTCAATTAGCCGCGGCCCTCTGCTTAAATATTGATTTTGCATTTATTGTTTATCAACTAAATATAAAGCAAAATGATTATTTTAGTGCTCTTATCCGCATGACACTTACATTCACTTCCACATTCATCCAGACTAAGATACACCTAAACGAACCGTAAATTATTATTATTAGCAGTGGAAGCTTGGACTTACAACACATATACATTCTGAGTTTCTATGTTTGC